CATTCCCCGGGGAGGCTGTCTTCCCCCCCGACGACTCGAGCGCTTCGTTGGCTGCCCTTCAGTCCGCAGATGTACTTGTTGTTCACTGGTGGCAGACGGGTCGGTGGGGCAGGCAGAACCTCTGTTGTGACGAAAAACGTGCTTTGTGTCGCTGCTTTGTTATATGCATGAATGAAGACGATCGAAGGGCTCACCGGGTCGGAAGAAACCCTGTTGAGGCCGGTAAGGCGGAGGAGAGAAGAAGGTGTCGTTCCGGTGATGGATCGGGTGAGGATGAGGACGGGCGTGGTGCATCGGAGGAGGGGGCGGGGGAGGCGGGGGAGGCATCCCGGCGGCGGGGATGCGTCCTGCGTTCTTCAGCTCGAGGATGGCCGACTTGGGGGCGCAGCAGACTACCGTCTTCTTGGGGCACTTGAATAGGTCTGTCATCTCGGCGTTTCCTAAGGGGGCAAAGGATTCGTGAATTGCCGTAAAAATTTAATAATGGAGGTTTTCCATGTGTGATGCCGACCGAAGCAAGTGAAGGAGAGGAACGACGTGATGCAGGTGCCTGGGCACTCGGCTCTCGGGTCGGGGGCCTCGGTCGTCGTGGTCGTGGTGGTCGTGGTCGAGGTCGTCGTGAGTGGGGGTGGGGGTGGTGGGGGCCTCTGTTGGACGCTGGGTGCTAGGAGACCCAACAGGGTTCCGAGAGGGCCTGCTGAGCTCTGGGGACGCTGGGGAGGCCTGTAAGGGTGACGCAGTGTAAATTGGTCGTGGATGACCTGTAGGTCGGTTGCGTTTCCGGGGTTGAGAGGTGTACATACCTGACGTTCGGTCGCTTGGGCGGAGGCGGTCGTGTAGGCGCCTCGCAACACACCGTTCCTTCCTGACAGGTGCTGACCGGGACCACCCGGGACGGGGCGGTACAGAAGGCAGACATGATGCTGGACACGCAGCGACCCCTGCACGGTACCTTCTCCTGATCCTCCTTCTCGTCGGCCGCGACCGTGGGCGGCTGCGTGGTCGGCTGGGCGCCCGAGGGGGGTCGGCGGGTGGTGGCTCCCTGGGGGCGAGTGATGCAGCAGTGGCCGCCTTGGGGGCAGATGGCGTTCCGGTCTATCTCGTCGCATAGGAATGTGAAGAAGGCGCCTGTCGGGGGGCAACTGGTTTTAGTGGGGTGGGAAGAAAATCCTTTGTGGTAGGGTTAATTGCTTCTCAGAAGAATTGTGACCAATTACTTTTACCGAGAAAGTAGATAAATTAAGTAATTACGTCTGAAATTAAATAATTATCTTATAAATTCTACAAATTACTTTTAAAATTATTTTTCACCCCTCACTTCAGTTAATGTTTTTTTGATGTCACCATTTTCAGTAATAACGTTTAAGGCTTTATTTCTGCATAAGAAAGACGTCACATTTCCTGAGTTCACGAATCAACTCGGAATCGCATAGCAGCTCGTGAGCTGCTCACGATCGACTCTAAAACGGACTCGAAATCCCTCGCTCACCGACACAGGTGCCCTTGCATCGCAGATGTTCCGGTATGGGCCTGAATGGTGGCCTCCGCGGTGGGGGACGGGGGGAGGGCTGCTCCTGCCCGTCTCCGGACTCCACCGTTTCCTCGTCCACCGGGGGGGTGGTGGAGGGGGGGTCGTTGAGGATCAGGTCCTCGGGGGGGTCCTGGCCTTGGAAGACCTCCCTGGTCACGCAGCATTTGAGGGCGCCCTTGCAGAGGCCGGGGCGGGCGAGGACGGCGTCGCAGTAATCGGAGATGCCGGGGGCCACGCAGACGCCTGGGCATGCTGACAGACCGTCACCTGGGGAAATTTTGGGGTCATGCGTTTGTGACCTGACAGTTTCAAGAAGGGTGTGGCTGAATCAACGCTTTCCAGTCGGACCGTTGCGTTTCGGACGATAACGTAGAAATGCTCCTAAGTCGAAGCTTTGCATTTGTGTCTTTAATTTTATTTTCATTTTCTAACATTTTTGTAGATAGTACTTTAATTTTAGTTTCAGAAAATTTATTTGGAATGCGTGGAAATGTCCTATAATGCTGAGTCCGTCGCAGTAGCTTGGTTAATGTTTAAACAGGAAGGCTGATTCAGTAAGGGGACGAAATTGACGGAAGTGAGGCTCACTGGGGTCGTTGTCCACGTTGGTATCCACGTATTGGATGTCCTGGTCCGGACTCTCTTCCTCCATCTTGTCCGGTTGGATGGAAGTGGTGGCCATGATCGGGGTGGGGG